AAAGAAAGATGAAGAAGGAAATATTAGTTCCTAATGATCAAAATTCGGCATTTTTGATGACGTTAATTGCATGTCTGTTTTTCGCAAATCCCTCGTATGCACGAGTGTATTTATTTGGTCTCATGCACATTACTGTACGTTGGCCCGAAAATATCCACACTCGTGTAGACTTTGAAGAGCCTATGAGGTCAGGTTTTAAATTATGGTCTGCATCCACACCAGGCTTTCTCTCCCCACTGCTGTAAATCCATTTTCCACACAATGCATTTCAAATCAAAGCAGCGTCACCATGACACGCCGTAGGAAACATTAAGCCATAGTGCAGTACTTTCATGTATGATAGCATAGCCCCTGTATGCTTTGATGTGCTCGCTTTATTTTATTTTATTAATAATATCACACTGGTTCCTTCTCACGCCAACATCAGCTTCTGCTGCTCCTTTCTCTCCTCCTGAACCACATACCTCACGTCTTCCGTGCCCCAGCTCCTTCCTCCCTCCCCAGCCCCTCAGCCTTGTCTCAGGATTGGCCTGTTTGTGTTTGGGAGGGGGATTAGAGGGAATGACATGAGCCTCGAGATGAAAAGAGGGACAAAGACCTATCAGGGGGCAGCGAGTACGTGGCGCTGCAGCACCATTGGTTGCTGAGGAAATCATACACGTCTTCATTTCTCCCAGCCATCCTCTACAAAGTACCCGGCTTTCATTTCCACACGCCCGGGGAGGGGAACAGCGAGTAAGGGGGGGGAGGAGGAGAAGGGAGGGGGGGATTAGAGTTTCTGTTTGTGCGTTTGAGTGTGCATTCACGTGTGTTTGCTTGCATGTTGCGTGTAAACATCTTGAAGGTACAGAGGGATGAACGCGTAGACGCTAATAGTGCTCACCTGTTCCTGAAGCCGGCCAACATGCAAATGCTGGAGACGTGTAGGGTGGTTCTTGCTAAATGGGAAGCCTGATTCGTAGACATGTGAAAAGCCTACTTACACATTTCTGACTGATTTCTCTCATTATTTCAGCCTCATCCTCGGATGCTTCGCATTAGCGTTGCAGGCAAACGCCCCCCAGAGCACGTAATGACTGTTCGGTATTTGCTGATGTTTTCTTTCTGACAATTTCAAAGCAATGTTGGAAATTTACGAGATCTTTTAGCAGCCTCCTCACATTCGCATGCGTGTGCAGATGTGCACGAACATCCGCTCAATTGATTTTCTGCTTTTGTGTTTTCTGTATGCGTGTTTCTCGATATTTGTTAATTTCATATGTATTTAATTTGCCACATGCACCACACACTCATGCATACAAACTCACACCCATTAGTCATTATTTTGCGGTATGAATTGACGGAGCGCTGCTGAAATCCTTCCTAAACTTCTCTGGTGTGATGCTGTTGAGCTTGTTGTGCACCAGACTGTTGTCAGTATTTGCCTGCTTGTTAGGATGCAGCCAGTTGACTGGGAGTAGTGGTCCTGGGCCCGAGCCGACGTCGCTCCCCTCCTTGCCCATAATAGATCTGCAGGCTCTCGGGGAGGGGTGAGGGTGGAGTGGGGGGGGGGCACCTGGCCGCCCTCCCTGCCATCTCTGGCCGGATCGATCGCAGAGGCCATCCCAGCGCGGGAGGGGACCCGGGGTCGTCTTCAAAGGCCTCCTGCCCACTTCCTGCCACCTGGTGTTCCATTTTGGACAACGGGTGCATTTCGTCCCCGCTCCCTCCGCCCTCCGTTGCCCTTCTGCAAACGGGTTAAGGACATGGAGCCGGTTCAGCTCCACCCTGTGATCTCCTGCAGCCTCCTCCCCAGTCGCCCACACGGGGAGAGAAGGTGAGAGATCAGGCCAATCCAAACACCCCGCAATCACTCACCCATTTGATGCGAAAGTCTGCTTGTGAGTCCAATTATGCCGTGGGAATTCTTTTCTCTACATGGAAGTGATTTGTTCACCTTTACCGTTCATTTTCACGTACCGGCACCTCGATTGCTAATCTAGATCACAGTTATAGACCATCCATAAAATATTCTAAATTCAGTGACACAATAACTACACAGAGCAATGTTCATTTATAGGATGTATTTTAGTCAGATATTATTCATAGCGTGATACAGTGTGACACAAAAGTTAATTAAGGTAATTGTTTATAATGATGCATTAACTTTTTGGCTGTCACTTGAAACACATTTCATTATTACTGATCAACAGATCTGCTATGGAATGAATATCTCCATCTCTCGTTCCCTGTTCCCTGAACAGTAACAAATGGCAGGACTATCGAACACACATTTCATCTCCACGAGGGCTGTCGGACAATTAGCTCCAAAAATACATATTAATCAATCGAGATTTTTTTTTTAATCTGTTCATCAAGCTCAGCCATTTTTTTCTCCCTCCAGTACATTAGCAGATCTCAGTATGTCCGCTACTCTTGTGAACGGGGATGAGAAGGAGACGGAGGGAGAGGAAATAAAGGTCTGATGAGTTTGGCAAAGAGAGGATGGAGGCTGAGACAGATGGCATGAAGTCTGCAGCACTCTGGCGTGCCTCGCCTGGTGCTAAAATCCTCCTCTCTCACATTCCAACAAATCCTACCAGGAGGCTGGGGAGTCTGTCACACCACTCCAAGGATCCGCATGCCCGTCCCCCCCCTTTCCGTCACCCTGGCCCAACCGAGCCTCTGACCGCTCCGTATCCCATTTTATCCTCGCATATGCACACGCGGACATGTATAGAGGTCGATCGTGACGGGACTGGTACGATAAGAGGCGCCGCCTGACTGCTCTCGCCGAGCAGGAACCGAGGGGACTTCATTGAGAGAGGTGGCCTTTGCCGTCACTCCGGTTTAAGGAATCGTACTCAGTAAACACTGGGCCAGAATCCAGTTGTATCAGTGGAAGAAGACATAAGAAGCTTTCTGATTAGTTTCACCACAGCCTGCAGCCGACTATGGTCTTGAACAGAAACGCTGTATCTCAATCCAAACACGCACCGCTCAGAAGCATGTTGCAAGACTCCCTGTGGACCTTACAACACAAAATGGACAGTAAGTGTAACTGTGATTACACATTGCGCAAGACCAACAGCTGGATCACGGGCTCCACGCGGCAGCTGCGTCTCCAAACACGGCACAATGATAAATCCTTTGAATATCTGAAGCGTGCTTTCTTTTGCCGGCTCATAGTGGTTCATCTAATAAACACAATTTAATTTATTTTACACTATGCTCCCTCCCCATGTCTCTTTCTCGCAGTCTTTCTGCCAGCCTTCTGTTTGTTCTAATGAATGACTTCTGAGATGAGATGCTGCTGTGAGGAGGTCACGGGAGGCTTCAGAATCACATTACTGTTAATGATAATAAAAAGAACAATCGGCGCGAAACCTCTTGGTTGTCTCTTCCTCTCGCTCCATATGGACTGAATGTATTATGCCGCTATTGTTTTGAATATCTTTACATGTTCGAATTGCAGTATTTGCAATTAAAATTCACAGTAAATATTGTTTTGTGCGTTTAATGCAGGCGTTGTTTATTGACAGAAAAGAGCAGATTAAAGGTATACAGTGGTGCACCATCTGGGTTGTAAAGTGCAACTTTCATGAGAAAAAAGAAAGCTATTCCCTACGGTAACATTTGAAGTGCAAAAGTAATGCAAACAACTTCTAACACTTGGAGTCAGGCTTTATTTGATCAATTCTTATACTGACAAAACATTTTTTAGCTTTTGAAAACGGTATTATCCAGATGTAATCACCTGTACTCGACTTCTATTAAATCAAGCAGCTGGAATCTGTCCATTTGAAGCTTGCGTTTGCTGATTTAAAACACTTTTACACCCTCATGAGCCACATATTAAATCTGGATACAATGGCATTAAAAAACATCACTTCGACGAGTCAAATCTTCAGTTTTCATCCATATCAACACATACTCAATAGCAAAGCGTTTGCTGGGGTTGTTTACATGGAGATCTGACATTCACGAACAGATCATCAGTGACTTTCCCTCCCGACACCACGGAGACGGAGTCGCCGGCTGTCCTTCCTACGTGGCAGGGCTGCGTGGCTTCCCCGGGCTCGTTGGCACCGCAGCTGTCACCCACAGGATGGGAGAGCGGCGGGGTCGATGGCTTCGCGGCGTGGCTCCTGGCAGCAGCCGGCCCTTCTCCCGGCCCGGTGAAAGGGGACGAGGAACGAACCCAATCTCTCGGCGCATTGATCGAGGGCCAGCCCTCCATTAGCCACCGTCGGAGCAAAAGGTCAAGCTAAGGCCAACGGATGGATCCTGCGAGCGTCCTACGGAGTGACTCGTTCTCGCATCCAGGGAGTGAGTCCTTGTCACTCTGGTCTGTGCTACACCCCCCCCCCCCCTCCCTTCACCCTTCACCCCCCCCACACACAAACACACACACAATCCTGGTGGACACCAAAGGGGGGTGCTTCATTCCCAATGCTACACACCTCCCTGATGGGTTGCTGCGGGCTTAACTCGCTTGCTCCTTTTGTTTGATGTCAGCCACATCATCCATTATCGTTGCTTTTAGAGGTATTACTATCTCCTGCCCAATTATGAGTCTCCCTTCTAATTTTCTCCAACAGAAATTGCTTAATAAATGAGCAGGCCGTGATTTGCACTGATGATCACACAGCAGCACAATTGAACCAAATTGCTCACCCAGCGATGATGCACCACATTGTGCTCATCACTGAGTGGCAACTACTGCCTGGTGTGGTTTACATTAATGCAGCCAGGCTGTGAAAAGGGGATAATTGTGGTGCTAAATGCTGTAGAGGCTGTCAGGATCCATTTCTTGACTCGTCAAGGGCAGCAGCGATGGAAGGGGTCGCGTCGGCGTCTACACACAGAGAAACAGATGAGTTTATTTGCACCAACAGGCGGACACACATGCAGGCACACAAGCACACACACACACACACACACACACACACACACACACACACGCACAGACAAAATCCACATAGAGATGATTGTCTCTTGCCTCTGTCAGGTTTTTCTTCTTTTTTTTTTTTTTCTCCAGCCATGGAGACCTCATCCTGGGAAATTGAGCAATTTCTGATTGAAAACAGTGGCAGTAATTAGAGCACTCACTATTTGTAACCACTTGGCAATGCATTAGTATGCAAAGCTGGCAGCCAGCTTATCTTGGGGAAAACGTTTGTTTCCTTAATTGCCCTCTTAGGACAAAAGTGAAGGGGGGGGGAGAATAAAATGTTAACGTGCTGCAGTAAGAATGGAGCCCGGTGGGTTGAGGGGATGTGACTCCCTGAACACAGGGGTTAAACTCCACTAATGGGCTGCACACAACACACATGGGCGCACACACAGGCACAGAGTAACAGTGGAGCACTCGTACCCCCACATATGGGCACGCACTCGCATTGGCACAGGGGCACATGGAGGCGCAGTCAAACAAAAAGACAACTACGGGACGGGCAGAAATAAGGCGCAGTTAGCTCCATGGACATTTCCACGCTAAATAATGAAATGACCGTGTCTCTAAGAATCCAGTGAGATATAATGTGAGCTTTGTACAGTTCATTCTAATGGCTTATCAAATAATGTTCATCAAAGACAAAATACGCATGACTCATCTTCCCTTGCTGTCCATTGAATGTAAAGCTTTCATTGCATCAGTAGGTTTAAACGTGTTACATCTGTGAGTAAAGCTCATTCCCTCGTGGCTCTGGCACATACCTCTCAAAGTACTTATCTTACATTCAAGGAGGGGAGGCAGGGATGAGTCTTTCATGTCAGATTCTGCTTCATTTCGCAGGACATCTTCTTCTTGTCACAAGCACACGGGAATCTTAACTGATCCCGGTTGGGAGGAAAGCAGACAGGTTCCCACATTGTAACGCTAACCCTTTTTGCAATAAAAACTTGGGATTGCAAGGATGCATTTTTTTATTGCACCTGTGACTTATGCAGCGTTGTACTTTGAAGTATAGCTGCTGAATTATTCCCCTAATTGTTGGTCAGTATCTCATAGGAACAGATAGGGGAGCAAAATCCTTAAGTCTTTGAACTGATGTATAATTAAGACCCTCTGTCATATGTAGAGAGAGGGGCGTATTTACTTTACAGTTTTTTTTTTTACAATACTCACAATAACAAAAGCTCCCATTATTTTCTTTCTTTCTTTCTTTTATTTGCTATTTTTAGAAAAAAATGAAAAAGACAAACTTTTCTGGGAAGCTTTTTTTCTCAATAACAGCGCTGCCGTGAAGAACGTCGCATTCACAAGCGCATTGTGTGTTGAAGACAATTAACCCTTCGTTCGGTTCAAAGCTCCCTGTTGTGACAGGATCTAATCCCTTACCTGTCTGGGTTCTGAATACAAACACAAATAGAATGGTTAGTCTGAAGAAACGGGAGAAACTGCGATGACCCGTTGAAGAGGCGACCGACACGTGTTGATAACCATCCTCAGCAGATTCACCCACAAACAGACGCGATGACGCAAATCATTTCCAATTAGGCGCAATCAAAGTCAGTCAGCGCGTGCGTGTCGGCGATCTTAAGCCTAATGGAAACGGTATTTTTAAGACACTAACGGATACACAATGAAAAGCCAAAGATGCAAAACGTTTGTTTTATTGTAATTATGACATCAATACGAATATTTACTCCTTTTACTATATTGTGTCACTGAAGAGGAAGATGGTGACAAGCACAATTTGGATGAAGTGAAGATGATTTATGTGTTTATTGGTTTAAGCAGGTGTGAAACAATGGGTCGGACAATAACACAAAATCATACCATGGAATAAATTCTGATCACACGTTTGTACCCTTCGTGTTGTTTATTACACATTGTTTCATATACCTTTCACGATTAAATAAATCAGCAGCTCGATTTAAATATCATGCAGCAAATTATAAATTAAATAGACATATTAAATAATTCAAACTCAATTGGACGAAAACATTCAAAAGGAGCGGAAGGCTCCGTGCTAGATGCAGGTGGATGCTACTGATAATACTGATAACACATTGAGGCCTCCTGGCTACTCTGGTTACTCTTTCTTCATTATAAATATTCTGACCTTCTTTATTTAGTCATTAAAATGATCAAAGTGTCGTGAAGTTACATATAGGCCGATTTAATTGGTGCCCGATGAAACAGAGTCTCCTCTTTCTTCTCAGAGAACTTCAATTTCATATTCACAATAAGGCAGCACGAAATGGAGAGAGTCAATAAAAGTTTGGGATAGAAACAAGTTGATGAAATTAAAGAGGGGACTGCGTTGCATCTGCGAAGTTGCAAAATCAAGGAATTTTAAAATAAGGATCCCTTTCCCGACGTGGAGGCGGGGACGCTTGACAGTGAGGATTACAAGTCCTCGTTTAATTGATTGGGATGGATCTTATTAGGATGATTGATACAACGATTAATTAACCACAGATAATAAACCAGCCGTTAGATTATCTGGCCTAATTGGTCCAAATACTGCAATTATTAGGAAATGTGCAAATTGTTTGTATTTACACCTCGATATCCGCCATGCGCGGTGCACGCGCGGCGGGTGGGCTCTGAGACGTGTGCGCGCGCGCCGTGGAGGAGGTTCAGCATGCGGACTCATTTCACTGACGAACTTCACGTCACTCAAATCAGTCGTTGAGGCGTCGGTGGGTTCTTTTTTTGATTCGATAATAAAAGGTCTCGGTTCGGTGGCGATTAAACCGACTCAGGGCCTCGTGCGATCAGTTCATGACGACACCGTTTCAACGGGGACCCATTTAGATCACATCCGGCTGAAGGTTTGGTAACGCAAGACTTCCTTAAGGTTGTGAGGGCCGAAATGGCTTCAGGAGAGCTGAATCAGCGTCCGTGTGTACACACCACGTCCAACAAAAGCCGCCGGCTAATCCACCCACTTTACACAATGCCGAGCGGCCCTGTTTACACGGGTTATACACACAGAGGGCCTCTGTCTCCTTCCCTGCATTTCAGCCCGGACAGACGGACACGCCACTGTTTTATTTCTCTCTCTCTGACTGAAAGGCAACGTAAATGACCCACTCGTAGAGTTTGAATTCAATGCAGATAATGTGTTAATGCATAGATATCAAAAGCATGATTTTCTCTTTTCAAATAGCATCTGCATATTTATTTATTTATTGCTTATTCCGGTTTCAAATCTTAAAATACATTATTACCAATTTGAGATTTTATTATTTATTAAACTGCTTGGAAAAGGGTGATGTGCAGGTTTATTGTTTCCAGGCCTTACTAAAACAAATGCGATGGCTCAACTCTGCAGAACTGGCAGAATTAGGATCGATATGATTGCGTTATTATTAAAATATTAGATGCACGTGTTTTGTTCACCAGAAGTCACGTTTTCTTGTGAAGGAAATTCGTTTTGAAACAGGACTTTAAACGCACTAATATTGTAAATTAGGGCATATTCGGGTAAAGTATTATTAGCTAATTGTTTCTGGCGTACTTTCTATCTCCTATTTATGATTTACATATTCATCAGTTTGACAAGTAATTGTTTTTCATGTTTTCACAACGGATTTTACCAAATGTACAAATTAAAGAAATGCTGTCATTCTCTTCTTTTTTTCTGTTTTAATATGTTATACATGAGGCCTGTTCACTACACTAAATAGTGACGCACAGAATTCTTTTGCAATTATAATCAGGCTACAAATTAATCACAGACATTTCAGACTCATGTTTGCTTTTCCTTAACGCATCAAATACTATTCCTCTATCTGTTCACGATCACAATATCAAAAAAAAGAAGAAGATTAAAAATGATCTCCTCTCAGTTGTGGACACAGTCTTTTCACACTGAATGCAGCATTCTCTCGCGACTTTAAGGTAATACAATAAGATTTCTGGCATCTGCCTTGCGATATTTAAAATTGCTTTCATTACATTTCCTCTTTTCATTTGACTTTGAGCCGTTTATATATTCGCCGTTCGTAAATGGGTTTTTCCACAATAGCGTTTATCCAGAAGGGGTAATTACTTTGGCACAGCCAGGTAAATTCCGCCGCTAAATTGAAATATTCTGCTTTAATCCTCCACTAAATCCCAATTCTCAAGACAGGGAGATGCGAGCGGCGGCGCAGTCACGTGGAGCTCCGGGGGGGTTCTTCAGGTGAGCGTTACGTCGCAGGGGGGCGGAGGATCTCCTCGCGCCGTCATGAGCATAAAACAAGATTACTAGATCTTCATCACGTAGCCCCCCCCCCCTTCTCTCCACAATCTCTCCCTCAGATAGAAAAAAGTATATGTTGCATAAGGAGAAGGAACTAAACGAATTGCAACTTTTTACAACAAATTTAACATGTTTTACTTTTTGGTGTGTCATAAATGACTTGTGTTATTCTGTTTTGTCTCTTCTCATCAGTGTTTTATATGATGTAAATGAATGATAAAATGCACCCCTAACAGGTGCTGGACATCTTTGTCTTGCATGCTGTTTGAAAAAGAAGAAGCTTCTAACATTTATCGATAATACGATGCATCCAGCAGAAGTTGCAACATTCTGCTTGTCACGGTGCTGCCTGAGTTCACCTTCCCCGTGTCTTTAGTTTGTAGTCACCAGGAAGAAATGGCTGAGCCCCATCTCCGGCAGCTCCCGTCAGTCTTTGCAGGAGTGGGTGACAGAGAACAGCGGCGGAAGATATAGCATGCTAAAACCGCTTCACTAGAGACATCAAAGTAGACCAAACCTCATATTGAGTGAACTTTTAAGCCAGAATGACTGTGTGACATCAGAGCACCTAAAATGAGACTGTCATGTATTTCAAACTTCGCTGAACACAGGCTCAAAGAGCAGAGAAGTATTCAATGGCAAGCACTTTTCAAACACACGCACACACACACACACACTCTGTCTGAGATTAGAAGTCTTTGTCTTACAGGAACCTCAAAGACCAATTAGATTGAGAGACGGCTGTGACGAATTTGTCAAGAATCCGATGATGGATATGACTTCAGCGGTGAGCCAAGATGGCTGGGGATTTCACTCAAGTGCAGCCATTGACAAGGCACTGTCGGAAAATCTGTCATCTCCAGCAGACCTGCCAGTTGACAACCATGCAGCTCGGGATTGAGACTGATCAATTCCCAAACTGCCAACAAGACATGGCTCTGATGGCGACGTTTTACTTTGTGAAGTCAAAAAAGTACCGCTCTCTTGGATATATTGTCAACTTTTCATTGGCATCACAAGCCAGCGACGTCCCAAGATACAGAAGGAAGAGACGGTGTGCAACAAATCTCCGATTTAAGAAAAGATTCAGCGTGTATTCATCCGCGGTTTACCAAAAGTTTGGACCTCCTCACACTTCTGTTTTGGACACTGCAGAAGTGGCGTGCGGCGCCCGTGTCTGGTTTCCGTGTTTTATGTTACACCAATCCAACGCGCCTGATACTTGGGCCCGTCTCCGGCCACCATTTCGAAAGTGAAATCCAATACAGAGCGCGCTTTCCCCTTCAAAGTCGTTTCCTGTTGTGCTTTGTGACCACAATAGTGTCAATCTCATACGTTCAAAGCCTCCTCCCCGTGTCAGCTCTGAGTGGCTGTCTATACATGTCTGCGAGTCGAGTCGAGCCTTTGATGGCTGGTCTGAAAACAGTTGGGGACGTTATGACAAAATTCCAGAAGGAAAAAAACAATTTCCATTGATTTGGCTGCACGGGACCCGGGGTTTGTAAAATCACTTTCAGAAGCAAGATGTTGTGTTTGATGCTCACAGCAACTCGGAGGCTTTAGCTTAGGAGGCTGAAATGCATTTTGGGTACTATGTGAAGGAAATTCCCAAGTCTGTGAATTACAAAAAGGTGATCTCGGATCTATGGATGAACACTCAGCTCAAACTGAATATGAGGCTTTGAGTGGGCAGCAGTGTCATGGATGTAATCAGCACATTGATCATACCATGATACATATTGAGTTTTATGATTTAGAATCGACTGTTGTTTGATGTTGATGGAAGCCAACAAGCAGTTTGTAGATAAAGCCTTGGTTTACACAAGCTTGTGATGGACATTTTTCAAAAATCTAAAACGCTCAATGTAAGGAAATCAACAATTAACATGCACAGATATTTTTAGCGCTGCCGTATATTGAGAAGCAGTTTGCTGTATTCCTTTTCAGGATGGTGAATGTCTTTGCATTTCATTTCTACCACCATGAATCATGCTTCCTTGTTCCAATAGTCAACGAAATGAGGTTTGTGGACATGTGAGAGAAAAAATCTCTCAGTGTTGTCCTAAACAATAGCCATTTGAAAATCTGCGTTTGAAGCCACGCCAAGTGATTGGGAATAATCAGACGACAATAATCAGATGAAAAGAGAGGCAATCTCAATAAACTTTGTCATTCAACTATTCAAGGTTCAATCATATCAGAGGTGTTTTGCATAACTATGAGACCCTGGTTCTAATCCTCAAAGGGTCTGGGGGCTACTTGGCTTTGCACTGTAGTCATTCAAGGTCTCAACCCGGTAGGAAATATGGGCTGCCATAGCAACACAAAGATGGCCTCTAAAGGCTTAACATAATTCTTCCCTAATAGAAAAATAACAGCGGCAAATCCCGTCCTTAGTGAACTGGCTTATTTGACAGAGGCAGACTCCCACCTGTGAAGCACATAGTCGCCACGCCAATGCGCTAAGACCACGATAAGATGAAAAAGAGCCCATCCCAGGATGGGGATGGGCGGCCTAAGCTCAAGCCAAATTCTTTCCCTCCTCTGAAGCTGAAAACAGCCCACAGTGTGTCTCTGACTAGCTTTAGCTTTTTGAAGCTGGACAACATGAGCTGCCAAATGAATCATACTCTCTATATAGTACTCAACTTTGAAGTGCTTGAGCCGTATACTCTGAGAAAGTATTTGGCAGAAGAAGATTGCTTACATGCGATCAAATCGCAGCCGGCGAACTGTTATTACCTCCTCGCTCTGCTTCTAGTGTTCACAGGATGTCCGCCTGGCACAAATGTGGCCTGTACGGATGTTCTAAACCTGCCTGGCAACCGCTCCTCTCCCCTCTGATTGTGGTAGCAGGAATACGTGCGCCGCCCTCCCTTTAGCCCACCTCCCTCTTTGTTGCCGGGTACCACAGAGATGGATTCCTGTCACTGTGTGAGTTGCATCAGAATGATGAGCACTGTGGAGAGAATAAATTACCACCACACGTTAGAGTGGGAGGCATGTAAGTGGGAGCCGCTACAGCAGTTCCTTGCTCTCTGCTTATGGAATCGCTAATGAGAAGACGTACCCGCCGATGTTGCAGCTGTGGCGATCAAGCTTCAAATCAAAGACTTCATGAAATAATTACTGTCAAAAGCCAGCTATGAGAATCCAATGGTTTCCCAACATGGGTTTCTTTAAAAGGTATGCATGGTGTTGTTTTGCCACACGTCGAGGGCACAATAGAGCGGGAGAGAGAGAGAGAGAGAGAGTTGTATTTGAGAAATGCGATCGCTCCTATGCTGCGAACATGAGTCAGCCATTTTTAGCGTGACTGGATTTCTGTTTATTCATTATATTCGGCAGCTGGAGCCTCGTTGTCTGTCTCATACGATGCATCTTCCTGTCAGTATCCACTCTACTTATTCTGCTGCGGTTAAAGGGTGTTTCTGTCCGCGGGGATGAGTCCTGCCCGCTCATTCCTGACCGCGTATAATCTCATCAATGTCGGACAGGTTTTCCTGCTTCGTGGCGTTCAAGAGCACGCAGTCAAGAAGAAGTGAAAGCAAGATTATAGTCCTCTCAGCTAAGGGCAAGTAAAGATATACACGCCTTTGTTTGCTGATACCTAACTCCTATATCACTTAAAGCTCAAAATAGTAAAGGCTTAATATCTTAATATCATCGAAGATCAATTCTCCCTATCTCAACATCTGGCACATGCAATTCTGTTATCCATGAGGGTGATATATTAGTACTCTAAAGGGACTTTTTTGTCATGCAAATTCACCAGCTTTCTTTTCTTATCAATTCATCTTTTTGCTGTCGGGCAAATATGCTAAATTCATGTATTAATATTCTATTCCTCCCATGGTATCAATATATTGCCATCAAAAACAATATCTTTTTTAGTTGCCCTTCACATCTTGCAATTCAGAGCATCCTTATTGGATTCTATATAATCCTGAGGCTTGCCTATAATGAAGTGATTGGCAGTGGAGTCTTCACATTGGGCAATTATGTCTATAATGGGCATATGTGGCACTGAATCAATTTTATAGTGCAGCCTTAAGTGGCTAGGTGAATGGTAGAATTGAGTAGTTAAATCAACACTCTGTAGACGGCTGTCCAATAAGAGGCAATCCCGCTGAACGTCGGCCTCTTCCTGTTCCAGTCCTACGCGGGGCAAGTTAATACATCAAAGCTCACTCAGAGCCACGTCTCCAGGATCCACATCTCCAGCAAAGAATGGCCTCAGTTGAGATACGGCCACCTCTGGCCTGATTTAACGCGCGAGGTCCCCTCCCCCCTCTCCGGGCCTGAATCTGAGGATAGAGTGGCTATCTGACGAGATCACACAGAGAGGTGCGGGGCCTTAACGGCGGCGAGTCTAAAAAAGGTTTCCATTAAAATACGTTCAATATGCCGGTCAGGGCTCTCAATGTGCTGCACACCCTGTGGCCCCGGCAAACTCAAAGGGCATCAGTGCAGATTCAGCGCGGGGAATCTGGCCCCCATTAAGTTAATGAGTCCAGGGTATTAGTATGCCCTAGCCAGCTGCCAAGTCTCCCAGTTTTTTCATCTCTGGTAGTTTTAAGGAAAGATCCACCAACCTGGGTGTGACAAAGGAGAGCGGGGAGCAAGGTGCGCTCTTCTGCTCTGGCATCAATTTCAAGCCGTCCGTCCTCGGAGGGTAATTTCCCGGGGTTTAGATGTCTTTGCGCAAGCTGGAAATCCAGATAAACAATGCGGAGTGGCACTTTTACTGTCACCAAGAGAACTTTGCAGTCTCTTAATCATGATTGCATCCTCAGAAAACAGACACCTAAAGTTGTAAAAAAAAAAAATAATGGGCAGGGGATTGGTGCTTAGAGACGTATTTGCATAACATATTTGGAAACACGCTGTGGTCATTATAGCGCCGTGGGCATTTTTTTATTTTATTTTATTTAGTGTCTGCAGTCACTTCACAGTTAATTAACTTGGTAAACAGCGGTGTTGCTTACTAAAGCTCCACTACCTGACTCAAAGCAGAACACACTGCCTGTCACCGCGCAATGAGCTGACGTGCGACTGACTGTCACCTGTGAGGGATTACAGAGACACTGCGGTTTGCCAGGGCCCGTCCACCAGGAAGTAGCAGCTGCTGGAGCTAATTAAAGGCATAGCAACATGGTAACATAGCCCAGCTCAGGTCCACATCAAACACTCTTCTTCATGCCAGTCTGGAATCTCATCCCTGGGATGTTGAGGCCCTCTGTGACCTGTGCCGGGAGCCTGCTGGGCCCTCGGCCTGACCTGAGAGCTGCAAAGTGAATTAGAATGGGTCAGGATCGCTGTGGGGTGCACCTGGAGCAGACTTACCTGCGTCTGTGCATCTGCATACCAAATTATGGCCATGCGGCTGTGTAGGCACGGGTTGCATGGACTCTGACCTGCACAACAAAGTGAAAGAGAGAGTCCGGGTGAGAGGTCAGGAGGAGAGAGGAGGCTCAGACAAAACCCACGTAGGAACCATTGGCCAAACGTGATCAGAGGGACACATATGTCTCATCTGAGGAGGAACCACATGCGGCCAGATGTCCTGGTGAAACACAAGCTCAGTGTAAACACATCACCTCACAACAGATTGTGCAGAAGCTATGCTTCATTTAGAGATAAGCTTCACCTCAGAGTAAATAACACTTTTTATGTGGTTACCTCGTGTTAAAAAAATAACTTCTTAAATTGCCCAGTGAGAAACTAAAAAGCTGTTTACTCAAAATAATGAGCGCTCTTTCTGAACGAGAGTACCTAAAGCCCGTCGAGGGAAGTTCCAGCCAATAATTATAGACATGCAATATGACACAAAAGATAAAAGAACTGATGGTTGACACTCTTCATTCCATCTGTTTTGTGCCTGAATCGGTTTGTCAGTTGTAGCGGTAAAGCTAACCAGAGAGGCATATCCAAACAAATCTATTATTAAACCTTTGCTCAGATGCAGTTGTAGCAATGATGTAGCTGTTGAAATAGTTTATTCACATGCTAGAAAATACCAAAATGGCTCCCCTTAATATCAAGTTCATCTTAATAAACTGCATTTTGTATTCGGATGTTATTCCACCATTTGTCGTTTAAATTCAGCCCCCCCTGAAGCAAATGTTTGGAAGTTGCACGATGGAGTTAATCAATATTAACTCAAAACGGAGTGTGGCGGAAGGCTGCCGGCGTCGTCTATGTCCAGAGCTCCGTCCCTGTTAGGTGGAAGTTCTCTGGAGGTGCTACGGCGCCGTGGTGGAGGCGAACCTGTCTACGGGTGGGTGAACACAGCACATCCGACTTCTGCACAGAGCCAGTGAGTGTTCCTGTTGAACACTTTATAAAGGTAGAGAAAAAAAAGAGTAATCTATGTCGGATATTTGTGTGCCTGGGGAGCAATGGGCCTGACGTGAAAGCCTTTGACTGGATCTCGGGTTCCCTCAGTTGTGTGAAGCAGAGCGGAGGCATCTTTACGCCTTCATGCTCAGAGTGACTGGCTGCGAGGGTCCGAGTGCCGTGTTCTTTCAGCAGTCATCGCCTGGTCTCAATCTCTTTGCACGTTTCACTGCCAGGTTCCTCTCCACCAGGCCTCCCCAAACTGTGTAATCAGCAGATGTCTTTAAGGAGCAGCCCGCCGCCATGTGCACACCCTGCATGCTTTGCCAATTTCAGTTTGGCAATATGTATATTTTTTTCTTTTAGATTATTATTTTTATTCGTTGGTTGGTTTTTAATGCGTCCTGGGGGTCGCAGATATATCGCTTCACTCAGCGGTTTGAATTCAAATGCCTGAATGATATATTCGAGTGTTCTTAGGTCAGTCCATTCTATTACACCTCGGACCTGCTGATTTAAAAAACTGACATAAAGTAATTCAAAAGAATCCCTTAACCTTCACAAAGACGAAGTCAAACCAGCTGAGCAGGTTTTAGGGCTCAACATCCGTGAATAGTTTCCGTTATATAACATTGAGAAACCAGGGACTTCTCTCATGAATAACATTTTGTGAAAAAAAACAGTGTTAATGGGTTCATACAAAGGCATAAAAACTGAAACAAAAATCCATATTTTGCAAAGCTGTGTGTCGGGATTTACATAATAATAAAGAATTCTATTTATATTTACATTGTTTCAAAACTATGATATAACACTCAAGATGAAATTGTCGTATTGGACTGGAATTACGCTTAAAAACTGGTACTGTAATAATTATTTATGGCTGAATGAGACGTAAGTCAAAACATCAGTACAGTTCTTAAGTGATGATTTTTGATTGCACTTGTGCTTTAGTTCCTTCCTTCTGTTTTCCTTAAAGATTACCGTATTAAGAGTTTATAAAATAATAGATTATTAAGGATTAAACTATAGATGCAGCTGTCATTTAATTTTTACTAATTTCACTAAGGTGTTAAGTCTATTGAACATAAAACAATAGTATGTTGAAAAACACCCAATACCACTTTGCGAAGCCGAAAGCGATATTTTTATATTATCTGACTAAAACAACCAAGAAATATTTGATTTACTGTCTTACTAAAATTCCATTCATCTGTTCTGGGTTATTTTTTTATCACCCGCTTACTCAACTAATTTATAGATGGAACTACCTGACAAACGTAGCTCCACAGCGTAGAACTACAACATTGCAATGCTGTTCTTAATTGTCATATTGTAATATATGGTACGTAACAGAACACTGACATGTGGCCGTACAGTACGACGCCTTATAAGTACTTTTACACTTTATTCTGCTGTCATTGCTGTTGTCGATTTACTTCAGCTCTTAATGATGAGTATCAGCGATCTACAGGCAAACAGGATGCTCGGTTGAGAACATTTCAGTCTATTTCTAATAAGTTATTCTTATTCACGCAATATCAGACAAGAGGATTTACGTGAGTCTATGTTTGCATTTTCACTGTGAATAGTCCGATGAGAGGAAGGAGGGGGAGATCTTTCTTTAGAGAACTTCAGAAGAACTTACAAAAGTTTAAAAAAGGACAGTGATGCGTTCAGCAGAAGTCAACTTTGGTCTGTCGTTCAGCAGATGGAGTCAGCTACCATTCCTGAATTGGCCCTCTATTTTCGAGACTGTCATATGTCTATTGCATTTCAAAACTTTGCCAGAGATTCTTCACAGATTTTTTTTTAGCAGTCGGGCCAAAGTGTTGTGTTGTAGCTCCGGGGGTCACAGCATGGCGGAGACCAGTGGCAGCACTGGATCTAACCAGTCTAATAAAGTTTGCTGATCGGGCCGTGAGTCGGGGCGGCCCGGTGTGGCTAGCGGCCCGCTGTGAGTACAGCCGCTGAATAAAGGTCGGTCTGAACCGGTGCCGTCGACCGCTTTGTCGAGCAAACAGGAGCCGCAAAGCTTTTCTCTGATTAAGAGCGGGGCGACCCGCCAGCCGATCGAGGGGAGTTGTTATGAAGCCGATTGTCAAAACCACTTAAGTGACTGGACATATTTGTGGAAGAATTACGTGCTCGCCAGATCAGGATTTTTTTATTTTAGAGTGTGCTTCAGTAAACCTTACAACTGTCCATCTGTTTATGTATACATGTCGGTTTGCAAAACTAACTTTTCTGGCCTGAACACAACACACATTGAACCATGTGACAGCATGCATTTCAGCACCACCTGGACACCATCAGGGCACCAACATGCCGCTGTTCCTTGTCTGTCACCATCTTCAATATTGCTGCAGAAGGTGGCAGACTCGTTGAGGGTTGGGTACCCGTGAAGTGAGCTGTCAAAATTAGCAACGTTTCTCGTTCGTTTGAGAGGGCGAAATGGGTCGCGCGCCGTAACAACAGCTACGACCCGAGAGGGACGCCGTGAGAAACGATTCACTGCTCTGTTATCACATTAAGAAATTCTGAGAATTGAGAAGTTTCTTTTCTCATTGACATCTAAAAGTAATGGGAACTAATTATTTCTTAGCATGCCATATGAGGTCACGCAACAGTGTTGATGCTTCTGTTACATACTACTTAACGTCTAGACCTTTGATGGATATTGTGTTAACGCCAACTCTATGGATTCCCTTTTTATTTTTCTAGTGTAATGACATGAAATGTGTGTGTTCATGTGTGTGTGTGTGTGTGTGTGTGTGTGTGTGAGAAAGTCGCATAAGTGGTGATGTTGGACTTGGCAAGCTTTTTTTCTGCTCCATTTGGTGACAGATTGGGTTTAAATAACATTATATCTTCACAGTTGTGACTCACAGGCCTCGGCGTTGCAAAGTCAGGGAGCGGTTTATCACTTCAGATGCGGACGCGGGAGGACCAGGTCGCCTCGTCTTTTAATTTATCACTTTCTGCCTTTCGGCCTAATGTGAGAAACAAGCCTTCAACACTAAACGTCAATCAATCCAGTAAAACCCATTCTTTCTCCCCCTTTTCTATTACAGGAAGTGCATTGTCATGTGATATAAATAAGATACTGTCATGTCCAAAATACTTTGAATTCTAAACACAGGTAACTAGCTGACATTTCAGCCGCAAAAATATATTTTGCATGCCCGCTTTAAAACACACTTTTTGCGGCATGTTGCATTGTGGGGTGCTAAGCATTGCTGAATGCTTCTTGGCAACCATGCTAGCTACAGCGCTAAAGTTTTTGACGTGGCTTTGAATCTTTCCCGCTGAGGTCGGAGCAGGGTGCATCTCCTCCCTGAGCCCCAGGTAGGTGGACATGCAGGGGGGGTTCTTTTAAAATATTGATGCTCTGGGCTCGCACAACTCCTTTAACACTATAAAACCAGCATAATGTATGTTTCTGTCGGCCCTACCCCCCCCCCTCGTCAGCCATGTTTGTTTTTGCCGGTGCTATCAAAGGCTAACTGCTTTACAGCACCTCCTGGTGCTCCCCGGGAGCAAACTTTCCCATCTGGAATAAAGAACTCAGCCCACAGATTTATAGGTACCAAAAAATCTATTTCACTATGTTTTTTATCATTCTGTTCTTTCATAATTTAACCAAACATTGTTGATTTGTAATGGTTTTGCTGCAGGGATCCAAGAGCTGCCTGACATTGGTGCTTTTAAAATAAGATGTAAGGGTTTGGGCTGATGGATTCTTTATAGATCGACTTCACACACTCACACAGATAACTTCTTGCTAGGGATTGTTGGTTTACATTCGATACATTCACTTCAGCGTGTCCTTCCAGAGCAGTGGGTGACGTGTACTTGTTGTCCGGGGAAAAATACACTAGGAAGTGGCCTCTTCCTCTGAAGCTTTGCTTACGCTCTGCTTTGGCACTCTTGTCCTGTCCTGAGCTGCCTGTCCTTCAAATCCAGGGCTTAGTATGAGGTGAGGCACCCAGGAGGGATAAGGGCTGTCACTGCTGCTGCTGAGGTGCCCACGCCAGCATCGCATAGTCACTAATAAAGACACACACTGGCAGGACTCCGCAGACCAAGCAAGGAGATATCACCAAGCTGCAGGATGCTGGCAGTCAACTTTCTGCTTGTGTAACGCTGACCTATTTTGTCAGCATTACGTAACCCGGAGGAACACCTAAAGTGTCCCACATAAACACCAATATTGATATTACTTTTCTTTTTGTAGCCGCCGTTTTTTACATTTAGGCACAATTTCAGCGCTCCGTTCTAGAGATGGCAGGTGTTGTCTAGCTTCAATAGCTAACACGTAGCTGCAAAAACACAGCGGAAGGTTACTAAATCTCTTCACTTTGTCAGTTGCACTTCCTCTTTCATTTGCACATCAGAATTCTTAAAATAAACATCGACTCCAGCTCCAACATGTCCACAGGTCACATATCATGTATGCCATCTTTTGCAAATATTGAGTGACATGCAGCGGATATTCCCAGAGCAAAAAGTGATGAAAGACAGCGCTCAGTTTAGACGTGTGTCGTGTTGTGATGTGTGGTGATGGCTGAACAGGTAAAGCCAATAATAACAAAATTTCATCCAAAATATGTATCAGCAGTCAAAATACTGATAAATATCAGGCGTGATTCACTTATAGCCAGAAAATGACTGCTTGTCTTAAAATTTGACTGGTTCCGTTACATGGTGCAGAAAAGCAGCAACCAAAAAGTGACAATATTCAAGCCAAAATTTAGGTTAAAATGGCGACAGTATATTTTAAACAATCTTTGACACTTTAAGTATTTCAACAAAATATAATAATGTTACGTAATATAACTCCAAAATATAATTTCACAGATTGCATAAATAAATAAATAATACACGTATCAGAAAAAGAAAGCTTGAAGAGAAGCACTAAAGTATAAGGGTGCTTTAATTTGACGGTGTGAAATTGGAGCGCCTTTGAAGAACGTCCACAAAAACCTACTCCCTTTTTATTTCTCCTCAGTTGTGTGACTCCGACATGTCCCTTTTGTACACTAGAATTATGGCCACTCTCATTTAAGGTGCATTTAAAGAAATATGTGACCAGAACCTTCAGGTGAATCCATTAAACTCTACAAAACGAATGTAGGGCCTATGTGGTATTATAAGCAGGCCACCCATTTATTTGAATGCATTTGTGTTCACAATTGTCTCAGTCATCATCATACTCATCATCGTCGTCATTGTCATCAACTCTGTTTCCTTTTCTCTATGTACTTTGATTGGTATCAAAACATTTGGCCCAATTATTACCAAACCGAAGACATTTTAACGCACGCAATTACTAAAACACAGTGGAAAATAATTATTGTTTCTTTTTTGTTTTTTTACGGATTGCCGAGGTACCATTAATACCGCAAACATTAAAAAAATACCACAGACTGATTACAAATGTTGAACTTTTGATTTCCCGAACATATAGTGCTTTATAACAGTTTCATTTGTAACTTTAAAAATGCAAAAACTTTACAAACACATGTTATTACGGACATTAAAAGCCAAGATTGTAGTGTCTGTATTTGTATTTAATTTATTTTTAGTTTTGGTAAAATATATACTATTATGAATCAGTCAATGGAAGAATAGTTTTATTATAAATATATAAAACAAATATTTGAATAGACCATTTCAAGATTAAAGCGATACTAAAAAAGTATTTTGCCTCTCCCTTTATACAATGCAACAATACTTTTAAACAATAATATTAATGAGATAAATCATGGGACAAGTTTTTTTATTTGATTGTTAAAACTGTTGCTAAATGTAGATTAAATTGTACAATATTACTGTCGTAGGTATTTTGAAATTGAAACGCTCAATTATTTTTTTATATGTGTACGCATGAACTTGTTTTTATGTATTTTTTCTGATTATGTATATATGGTTATACAGACAACCAAATACTTTTCACCCCAAAAAATAAAGAGAAAAAGAATATAAAAGAATTATAAACGAACATTAAAAATTTAGAATTTAGATAGATTCAGCAGATGGACAAAAGAAAGTTATTCTCGCGTTGTTGAAAACTTTTTTCGCCTATGTAAGACAAATCTGCGGGAACAATTGGAAAGTGATTATACTTTGTGTTAGTTTAGTTGTTTGTTGAAGAAGCCATCTGTTTGTATGTTTCTTTGTAATTCTTTAATTGTCGTGTGTATAATTGTTTTTTTTTTTCATTTTCAAAACTTCACGCGTTTCATCAAAAGACAACGAAATTCATTAGCTCTGTGTTTCAAGGTGGTATCTGAACAGCAGAAGATTCTTTAATTGTAAGTCTTTTTATTTCTTCAAGGCGAATTAGAATGGTTGGCTCTCATCACAATCTAATAATATGCATTGATAAATAAGACGCAGAGTTTTTGATCAAAAACTGTGAGTTAAATCAGATGTTTCTCTCACATTGAAACGAGAAACTTCTCTCAGTTTGCAGAATGAAAGGCCACCATCTGTTTTTCGTATGTTCATCTGTAGAGAGGAAATTCAACTGTCAGCAAAGTCCCTCCTACTTATCTAGACACATAGACATCCCCACCACATAGAGCTTCAATTCTGTACAAATCTCCATCACTCAGTGGGTCAAAAAACTCTATCAAAGAGATTGAAAGGGGGTTTATATAAATACATTTACCTTTGTGAATGCAAACTCAGATTACATTATATCTGATGACAAAATTAAGATAAAGACTTGAAAAAATGATGCATACAATTCCATTATATTTGAATGCTTTTTCATTCCTTTCTTTCTTTTGCTTTAACCAACTTTAAACTGTCAAAGAAACATTACTCATTATCGAGCGTACTGTAAAACCCCCCCCCCCAAATATATTCACCTCCATAATCTACACTTTAAAATGTGAGATCAGTGGAAAAGTATACTGAGAAAGTTACTAAGCTCAGCCTTTAAATCTCGATTACAAAGAAAGATATCTCTCTCATGATTTCCCAAAGTTTGGCATTGGGAAAAAATAGGAGAAAAAATGTGAGGGTTTTCCTTGTGTCATACTATGAAGGCTTTCAACTGCAAAGACTTTCATATGAAGCTGTCACATTTTACTCATCTCATAACTCACGATCCAGGCTAAAAATATTTAAGGAGTTTTCTATCTTATACAAGTCGGGTTAAGTATTCCTTGTTTATGTGTTCTCAATATGATGGAAAATAAAAAATGATCTCATTCTCTCAAAACTATTAGGCAATTCAAAAGCAAATCTGAGGCTGTAATATCAGGGGGCCCTTGAGAGAGTGAACCGCTTGTATAACACAGCAAATACTGTTTATCTGAAACAAAATGTACGAGAAAATAAGGCTGCTTAAGCTATTAGCGGCTAAATCAACAGAAGAAAGGAAAATATCCTTCTACGTTTTTTTGCTTTTGTAATAATTAAAGTCAACTATGTATGTGATTCTTTCAAATAGCATTCAAAGAGTTTCAGCTCCATCTTCCTCCTTCCCTGTTAGCTTAGCGACAGCGGCCATTTTGTCTGCCTAGCATTGGTACGTCTTTCCCTGGTCTTGCCTATTCTTTGAAATTCTGGTTACGCGATGATGGTCGCATCAATTCAAAGACAATTTGCAGGAACAAGATCTCCTAACTAGCAGCTTCAAAATGCCAAAAGAGCGGATCGTGTCAGTCATGGCGTGTGCATGTTCCAGGCTGTAATGCTTTCATTATTTTCCTCAGAATGCACTAGTAAGTGTTTAGTGCTAACCACATGGCTGCCACATAAATGCACATGCATGCAGGACACATAAGTATGCACAATGCAGGCACACACACACACATAAAATAGGATGACTTGATCCCGTCCGTCAGCAAAGAGTCTGCGTCAACCACCCGCTGCTCCCACCTCCACCTACGTATACAACCAACCATCAACCATAGGATGTTTAAGCCCATCTCTCCAGAGGTCACCTTGGCTTGTTTACTTGACTGGAGTGGACGCTCAGTGAACATCTCACCTACCAACGTGTGTTCAGCTCTCAACTCATTTCCTACTGGATCCTCAGTCAGTGTGGGTGAGTACAACCTGTAGTTTTTACCCAAGTCATCCGCTCCATGGAGGAAAAAACTGTAATGGGCTGAACTGCTGGAGACGAGTCTCACTTATTGCTTTCAACTCTTTGAAAATCATTAATTTACCCACATCTCATCAATTAATTATACTTCTACCAATTAGCGTCTTCCTTTTCGACTTTGCCGGAATAATTCACAGGATGTCGATACATTTTTAATCCATGGCTTCAGTAGTAGTAGTTTGCTTAGGCTACCACGAGGTTACTGTAAAATGATTACTTCCAATACTCTGCTCTGAGCCTTCAATAGAAATTACCACAGTTAATATCATGAAGATGGATATTTTCATGTATTAGATCTTTAAATTTTTGCATTTAAACTGAAAATGCACGTGAAAACTGACAAAGATCGACAAAATGAGAAACTATTCTAACAGCTAAAACATGCTGATGTGTTAACTGGCTGCATTTGCATTTGCGTAGGTTTTTGGACCAGTTGCACCTCACGGGCCGAGCCACCAATCCTGAACGCGCCTGTACGCACCAAGTACTCACCCAGCAACTGTACGTTGTCGCAGACATCTCTGCACGCACACAGAAACACACACATACACACACAAACACACGGCTGCACATACACTCACCTCTGCACTGCTGAAACACACCACTATTGAAACACTGAAGACTCGTCTGATTCTGGTAATGTCCAAAATGTCCTGGTTATTGGCTCAGAGGGGTGAGAAGACTCTCTGGTGATTGAGGCCCGGGAGACGGGGCTTTCTGTCTTTCCAGAGAGCTGCCCTGACCACCCTGGTACACATAAGAGAAGAAATCCTTTTCAGGTTGAGAGTATGACACAGGACTGCCTCATAAATCAGAGTACAGGCCCAGCCCGGCACAGGCTGGGAACGCCATGGGAGTGGTAGGCGGCACTACGGTGAGGTTTTTGGGGAAGGATTATGGATTGAGACGTACAGCTGGGAGGCTAAAGTTACACTTTTCATTACCACTTCGAGGGGGTCTTGGCTGCCTGGAAGCCCAGTCAGATTTGTGAAGACCTCTTTCTCCCCCCCCGGAATAGTTGTAATTGTGCAGGCGCATTCTTCACCTGAGGACAATTGTTTTTGATATGGCAAAAAACAATTTGGTGAAACGCGATGGGGATGCTGTTTTTTTTTTTCTTTCTCTTTCTTTGCCAATGGAAGAATGAAAAAAAAAATGAAGAAAAAAAGAGAGGGCATTGTGAAAAGTCTTCATTCACCAAAAGACCAGAGTAAAGAGAGAGCAGTATGCCCCCTTCTGGCTCTTTTCTTCTCTCCTTCTTTTCTTCTCCTTTTTTCCTTGGCGTCTGGAGATGTGAAGAAATGTCTTTTGATCAGCTCTGACAGAGCCCGGGCCATGTGAAGAGGGCGGCTAGCGGGACTCTGCCAAACCATGCAAGGCAAAAATGTTCCTAATAAGAGAGTAATAAGCTAAGGAGTGCTGGCTGTCTCTCTGATCCACATTCTGGATGCTGTTTGTGCCAACACACCCAGTGCCTTCTGACGTGTACCCGACTCTCATCGGTCTTTGGACTGTTTGCCAGGTCACTGCGTTTCACCTGCCTTGTCCCATATGCTCTCGCCAATGGTGCAATAGTTTGAAATTTGGAATCGTGTGGGTACAAAAAATGAATTTGTTAGCATGATTTTACACATGTCCAGAATGTAAAATATGTTTCTCCGCAGAATATATACACGGGTGGAAAAAATAAGGTGCAGGGTTGGCTTTCCAGCAAACCTGGCCCACACAACGTCAACTTGTGCTATTTCCACAATTGACTGCTTCCATTGTGTGTGTGGTTTTGAAGTGGTCACATATCAAAGGGCTCTGTCTCTGCAGGGTGGATTCTCTGGTACTCTGTAGAGCACAACAAGGAGATAGTTACCTCTCACAGCTTCTCACTGCAGCATCCCAGCCCAAATAAACACATCACCTCCACTGCAGGGGGAGGAGGACAACAGCACAGCTGCCAACCCCCTTCTCTTTTTCTTACCCGGCAGCAGCGGCCCGCCAAGTCCACAGTGCTGCGGGGCATCCCAGCCGTGAACAGGTGCTCTGTTGGTGGAGTTGGGCCTGTTTTTAGGCCGGTCTCTGGGCCTGTTCTAAGTGCTGGATGTGTGATGGCTGGTGAGGTTTGGCTGGCCAGACATTAATGGTGTGTTAGCGAGTCCTGGGCTCAGCACTGGTAATTACGGTGGGGAGAAGGCGATTAGGCAGTGCTGAGCAGCCCAGCGAGGGGGACGGGCCCACGCCCAGCAGGGAGGGGAGTCCTGCCACGGGAGGGACCAATCAAGTGTAAAGCAGAGCGCAGACCCTGGGCCTTGGTTCAGTGGGAAAAGGCTTGGCCACTGGTTCAGAGCGCCGCAACTTTCACGGATTAGTAGAGACACTATTCTGAAGACTGAAAGGGGGAACACAGCACGGAGGCAGCATCAATGCATGCGTGCACGCACACAAACACACAGTCACACAGGCTCCCTCTCTCGTACCCTTTCTCTCTCTCTCTCTCTCTCTCTCTCTCTCTCACACAAAACCCACCAACAGCTGGGAGGAGGGCGACAGCCATTGCCATATTACCATAGCAACGGCATATCTCACATTTGAGCCCAAATGAAGACACTTGGACGGCAACTGGGGTATTTTTTTTCCCTCAGTTATTGGAAGTATTTTAATAGTTTCTCTCCGTGCTTGTAGAATCCACCCCCCCCACCCCCCTCCCCTCGCCTCCCCGACTCAGTTAACGAGCTACAATTGGATGTGCTCGGTGCAGACAAGCATCTTGTCATTTTGTAAATTACAGGATATCCACACTGAGAATTTAACTTGTGTATTTACGTGGCAAAGGGGGGGTTTCGATAAATGCCGTGCAGTCTTTCAAATTTCAGTTGATCTTCATTACTCCCATTGGGTCCACTGTGGACTTCAGTGCAAACAAACGCATCGCATTTGAGAGAAGAGACACTTTCAAGTAAAGTAATTGCGTTTCTTTCTCACGTTAAATAACTTTCACTCTTCAATGCCTTAAGCAGGTGGAACAACTTTGAAGAATAATCTCGATCCGTGCTCAACATGCATTAGATAATTTCACTTTTTCAATTTTAAATGTAATTCTTGAAAACAGATACTTGAGGGCAGTTAAATGCAGGGGGTTGGACCTGAAACGACTAAAAAACGACAAATTACCTTAAAGACGCTTCTTAGAAAACCTGTTTGTATTTTAGAAAGTTTAAAGTGCTGCAAATGGATTAAGACACAGTTTCAAAGAGCGTGCCCCTTATCTTATAATAAATAAAAGAAACAGATTTGGAATCCTTATGTTCACAGTGTTATCTAAAATTACACAGGTATATTGTCTGCCGAGCTAATTAAGTAAAGCACATTTTCAGTGAATAGTGTAGCTATCAGAGTAAACATCTGGCTCTGGCTGCTGTTGTCGAATGAAACATTTAAAGCTTTCATCCGGCGCAACAAACGTCTTCGCTGTCCATGGTGCGCTTATTTTTGATGAGTGCTTTTGGTTGCGTTTTGTCCTCATTTTGGAAAGAGAGTAAACTGGTAAATGGTGACGCAGTTCTGTTTCTGGATGAGTTTTGGGGTACGAGAGCTCAAGTCCTATTCCATTCTGTTTAATGGCATCTCGTCCCCAGACAGCCTGTGTGTGTGTGTGTGTGTGTGTGTGTGTGTGTGTGTGTGATTTAGCATTCTTTGAGATGAGGAGAGTATTCCTGTACCAAGGGGCCTCCCCCCCCCAATCCTGTGCTTGCTTTGAGTACAATCATCCAGCAAAGCGTTCCCTATCTCCCTCGCGCTGACACACATACACTCTCTCTCTCTCTCTCTCTCTCTCTCTCTGCTCATCATGCTTCGACTTTGAAGTCACTGCTTTCTCTTTCTCTTTTTTGGTCTTTGATTCAATAACATTCTGTGCATAGTTCCTGTAATGCCTGGATCCTTGTGCCTTTATTTTTTCTTCCTCTGCCAGTGCAGGAACGGTGAGTCTCTTGCCTTTGAAACGACGTCCATGAATTACAACTTGTCATGTGTCATTTTCCTTGTTTACAGCCATTTTTGGGCTCCGACTCCCCTGTGTTCCCCTCTTGTGTTTTACATTTAATTGCACCAATAACGTTGGTGGCGCTCACCGGCTCCGCACATGCAGCTCGTTGCCACTAAGGGGGTGCGGAAACTATTAAAATATTTTCCAGCCGTTACCAGTTTTATGTGTATAATTTGTGTGGATGTATCCCACTGTGTTACCACCAACTAGGAGAACAGAATGAGATTGTGCTTTGACCTGCGCTACAATAAGTCAGAGGGAGTCGGGAGTCGGCAGGGCCAACGGGCCGAAGGGTAAGAGGAGGAGTTAGGGAGGAAGTGAGGGAGAAGGAGAGAAGGAGAGTTGAGCCTTTACAGGAAATCTGCACTAAGTGTTGCTAAAGAGCTTGTGTTTTTCCTCGGCTTAATTTATTGCACGCCTGTTGAAGTCAACGGCCCTTTATAACCCCACCATAATTTCCCATATGTTCCATATATCACCACAGAGAGAGAGGGCGGAGGAGAGAGAGTGTTCAGAGAGGGGAAAAAAAAAAGACTGAGGCAGCATATACGTTCAAGGCTCAAGACGCACACAAACACACACACACGCACACACATGCACACACACACACTCCTTGGAGATGTGGCCAACTGCAACAGGGGTAATACCCTTGTCTTAATCAAACCCGCATTGGTATGTGTGGATGTATGTGTTATTCCCGGCACACCGCTGCACCTGTGGGTGGGCCATGAAATATTAAACACTCCTGCTCATGTTGTTTACTTTCATCATTAAGGGAGAGTCCTTGATAATAGGAAAATGGCTCTGCTTTGCAAGGGTCTGGCCCAACCTCCACTTTTCCAGCAGGACCTGTTTGTGCCACGACGAGGCGGACGAGGTCTAGGAGGAAAACTATGTGTTGGGAAGGAACAATGATGGGCTGAGGTGTAGCCCAGTGTTGCCCAGTATCAACACAGTCCTTAAAAAAAGAACAAATCTAGTGATTTGTGTACATGGACACAGATTTTCCCTCTTTTTGTGTCACTCAGCATGGAAGCAATGCTTACCGAATGTCTGATCCATCGCTGGACACAAGAATTAAACTCACCGTCGGGATTGTGTCCCAGCTGGAGACTGTAAACCACTGGTGGCTGGGCAGATGGACGTGTCCAACCAAAACAGGACGTTCAGCCACACGACCAGCGTTCTGCACTGAGCGCCACACGGTTGTTGTGAAGTGGTGTGTGAAGTGATGCGCCTCTGTGTTACTTTTCCTAAACCCAATGTTTGTTTTGTTTCCTAGACCTAAGATTAGGAAGTTATTTTGATCCCAACCAGTTTGTTTTTCCGAAAACCTTTTACTGCTACAAATAACGTATGTTCTGTTGCATAATGTCGTCACGTGTAGACGCAGATAATACTTCCAAATAAATCGTATCGAGGTCGCGCTGAACGTCCTCTTTCATCCTGTTTCACAAATTGCCATGAGATTGTGTAAATGAGAGTCTTTGTTTTTGCTTGATTGTGTGAGCAATTGCATGCCTTAATGTACAGCCCTATAGAATATATAATAAACTCTGCTGTTCATTGTCCGTGGGAAATCAAAAATAAAATATTATTTTCTAAACCTATCCGAGTAGTTTTGTTGTCTAAACCCTAACCAAAAGTAGGACAAAGTATAAGTTTTTCGTGATCTAAAGAAACATCCAATAGAAACATATTGTAAATGGAGTGAACATGAGTTTCTGTTCGTCTGCAGCTTATAAATGCTAAATGAGGAAGAAAAGTAAGATGTTGACATAGGATATGCCTGGAAATTTCAAATAAATCCTCCTCTTGGCGTAAATTGCTCTAAATGTTTGAGAGTCATCTTAGATATTATTTGTGTCCACTGACATCTTGACTGGTGTTTACTTCTCTCAGACCAGACACGTGAAGAAACAGGCCGCCTCCTATTGGCTCCGCCTGACACAGCCATGGACGGGATGGGATCCTGGAAGCGGGGGCCGGATGATTGGGAGGTTTGGCTGAGGTGACAAAGAGCTGATCGATCCCCGGCTGCAGGAGGCCGAGCCGGGGGAACAGGCTCCAAAAGCCTGACTGTCACGCACACTGCATACACAGGTACATAAAAAACATAAGGCCCACGCGGAGGGACAATCCGCTCTGGCCTTCATTGCGTTAGGCAGACGTATACTAAACTGGAGAAAATTGTTGAGTATGAAAGTTGTCTGATTAAATAATTGATTCTGATTCTCACACAGAATGTTTAATTATTTGATGACTTTGTGCGTGATAACAGGGCCGTAACAGTTTGACATAAAACACCATTTCTGAATGACACATGTCATTTTCTTGTGATTCAGGATGTAATAAAGTGACATTTTATTTGTTAATTTTGAAAAGCTAAAAGAAATAACCCTCTTATCATAATGAATTTAGAGAGTATTTAGAGACATTTCCACCCCATGTTTTAGTCGGTCATACACATGAGCTATACTGTATACAAGTGAGTGAATCATCAATAAGATGAGCAGCCTCTATCCCCATGCTACTTCTTATTTATAAAGAAATAGCTTAAGCCCTGGTGTTCAAATCACAGGCAGCGTTTAAATCTCCTAAAATCCTTCCATGCTTGTTATTGCAAAAGGGGCTTGTTTGGGAACACGTCTTGAAGATCATAGCGTGTAGTTGCAGCAGCTACGTTTGAATCAACATGAGGTGCAATGGGGGAGGAGAGGGAAGCGACGCTGGAGACAGAGCACGTAAGAAAGAGCGAGTCATGCAGGAAGAATGGGACTATTCCACTTTAAAGTTTGTCCACCCGGAGAGCTTTGGCATCTCCGCAGCCATACAGGTTAGCTTAAAAACTGAGAGAATGATTTTGTGTTTTGGTCCCTGGGGATGGAAACTGTCTCAACACAGTGTACACTCAATAGTAGATCAATATTTCTACAATATCAAGCCGACCCAGCCTGGCTCCTTCCCTCCGAAGCACAGACAACATGAAATGAATTGTTATTTGATGTTGCACTCTGGGAAATGATTGAAGGTTGCCTTAGGCTGAAGACAATTTGGTAGGAAATCTTAAGTGCGTCCCCGGTGCTTAATGACTTACTGTACAGGTTCTGCAGTGAGAAGCGCAGACGTGTCTCACGTATTCCTGCATCTCAATTCAACTTTATTGCTGCCGACAAACTCTGTCTCCTTGTAGGCCTGTGCGATCAGGGCCAGGACGAAAAGGGGAGGTGTGCCGCTTCGCCAAACGGAACCAACCGGCTTTATTTGCTATTTTCTACTCATCCACGGGTAAATTATTATCCCCCGACGTGCGAACTGATACTACAGCAGTGATGCATCAAGTGCGTTATCGTTGAGGCTACTAGCCTGGCTCATGACTGCTTGTAAAAGTCGTTTGAATGGAGGCGAGACCCAGTTGGAACCAACTGGCCGCTCGCTGGACCCTTGATTAAAGCCATATCCTCAGAAATGTGTATCAATGCTCTCCAAAGACAGTATGGGGATTAGGGGAAGATATTTGAATTTGGCCTGAAATGAAATTCACAGGCTGCAACTGCCATTTGCTGGATAACAGGGGTCTTCTATTTCACTTTAATTCCTCTAACATATAGCAAACAGAGACCCAGAAAAAGAGGAAAATCATGTATTTGATTAGAGAAAACCAGTGAAATGTCAAGCACTTCTCTTCACTACCAGAAAGGCCTTTCTCAAAACTCCTCCCGGTGAATGAGCTCTTCGTGAAAAGACTGCAGCATTCACCCACCATCCTATGCAAACAAGTTGTCCAAGGACCACATTGTTTCAAAGGACCTTGTGACACTCCAAAAAAAAGCGGTCAATGTCTTGGACACACATGCCATCCCAGACTCTTTCACGCCCAGGCTAAACGTTTAGCCACCCTGGCTAATTAACTGCTGTGAAAGGGCGCTCATCAAAAGGAGGCGGAATTTGGAGAGTCTTTGACCAACCCTCGGGTCCAGGGGTCAGGCCTCTCCAAGACAGAAGTTAGGACGTCCTGGCCCTGGACCTCTGGACGCTAACCCCTAACCCCTGCCGGAGCATATCAAAGCTCTGGCAGCAGAGGGTAGCACAGACGTCCCCCAACAATAACAGGAGGACATCAAAGCGCTAGTTGGAAAAAGACGAGAGGAAAAAAAGAAGAAAAAAGAAAGCCAGCCAATATCAAATTCCCTCTTTTTCCGCAGATATTCCAAAAGATGAATATAATTCATCTCTCCAAGTTGTCATGGGTCTAAAGGGCTCTTGCTGTGCCGCAGCCTCCTTGGGGCACTTGAGGAGAATTATGTGATTAAACAGACCTGCGAATTCTGGACACAGGCGGGGAGAAGAAAGCTTCGGTCCCCTTCATAATGCCCCTAATGAAGTGGCTGGTGGCTCCGTCATCCCTGGCTGGGCCTTGTGCAGCCTGTTCACAATCTGTCTAATGACAGAGCGGGGCTGCCGAGCGCACCAGTGCTTCCCAATGAGGCACAAAGGGAGATCACAGGCTCCATTGTGGCTAGGCACAGGAGCTTAGCACTCATCAGGCCCAATAAACCTGTCTCTAGTCAGGGCAGGACACACCCCTGCACCGCCAGCCAAGAGCCCCACGCAGCACACTCCTTCAGTCGCTCACTCATTATGACATAAGGGTGACATGGCCTTATCACCCGCTGAAATGCAACTTACGCTCTCACTCACTACTGTTTATATTTACATGTTGACACTGGAATAAAAAGCCTTTTTTCCCTCTTGGCCCCTGATGTTGTGTGTGCTGTAGTGCAGATAATGCATGGGTATGTATCTGCATACACTGGGTGTTTATTTGCCCGCCCTTTTGCCTCCATTTTAAACAGGGGCCGCTCCTCTTGGCCTGTGCCGCCTCCCGGGCGCTCCTGCCAAACGTATGCAAATGAGCACGTCCACAATGGCGCCCACAGCTGCACGCAGTCGGGCCAAAGACAGAGGACAAGGCGGCCGTCCCTTTCATCTGTAACCCTTGATCCCCGTCCCGACACATCATGTTCACCCCAACACTGCTCCCCCGCCAAAAGAACCACGTCGCCTCCCAGCCCAGATACCCACTCCTCGCGGCTTTTCTTTATGCACGCATGAAGCCGGCCTTTGGCCCGGGCTGTTAGGAGCCTTGGACCGAGTGTCCAGAATCTGCCCAGACATTCTGCGCCGTGGATTCACACACCTCCACCCTCGTTGATGGCTCTTGAACCTTTGTCAGACCAAAGTGGAAAAGGAAATGTGGGGAAAAGTAAACAACTTGTGCCTTTTTTTTTCCCTCTCCACACTTTTTGAACAGCCCGTCTCCTCTGCGGTCATTATTTGGGCTAAAATGACTGTGCCGATGGGAGGGGTACAGAGAGAGGAGGGTTATCCAAAGAAGAGTGGGGGTAAAGAACCTGATTGCTTTAATCTCAGTGCTCGCGGCGCACCCCTTTTCATAAAGCTCTTTGGCCGTGTGATTCAGACCCAGGCCCCAGTGTTCTGCGCCCCACTATTGTTCTCACATGAAAATCAATTCCCTTGAAGACCCTCCTTAATCCCGTTTTTGGCGTCAACAATGGCCACTTGTGCACGGCCTGATAGACTAAGAGCTGGGATGATGCGGCTGTCTACTCTGATTCCAGCCCATTCAGGTAACGGCGGCCCGCATCACTTTGTAGTGCCAAGTGCGGGACTCGACAGGAAGACGTTTGCGATCATAATTTCCTGCAGAGCAGAGGCCCGGGCACCCTACACACTCGCAGGACTTTTAATTAGGGCAGACAACCACAGAGATTAGAGATCGGGCCTGTAACAATGACTGTCCCTTTGAACGGGCCTCGGCCTCCATCCCCACTGAGCCCATATGGAGAGCACGGTGCCATGATCACGCTAATAACAATCACCTCAGCAATAGCACACAGCAGCACTCCACGCTGGGCCACATGCTCCGCGGTTCTGGACAGCTCTCCGCGTGTGCATGTGAACAATGAAAAATACAATCAACTAGACTTTTCTGTGGTTCGAAGTGTGAAAGAAAAAATAATTAAATGCAGTTGTTGTTTTGTTAAAGCTGCGTTTTAAGGGAGGATCAAAGGTTCTTCTGAGGTGTACTGAGGACAACCCGGAGTTGTTTCCTACATGAGTGTGTTCGTAATTCAGTTTTTAGTTTCAGGTACATTTTCAGATGCTAAATGTAATGTCTTGGCCTGCCAGTTACTTGTTTTTTTTCTGATGTCTGCTCATCTTTTTATTGGATTCACACATCAAAACTGTGCAGTCTCCACGTTTGATGGACTCCAGCGTAAGAATTTATGCAGCCTTCCTCTAACTCTCTAAAGAGCAACAGGAAAGGCAACACAGCAGCAGCACAGCAACAATCCCCATTAATTACAGTCAGAGCTATATCTGAAAATCCTGATGAGGGATACAAAGGCCAAAGTCTACAGAAGAGATTTCATTACTCGTTCCTCTCCTTACCTTTTCTGTGTTTGGTAAAGAAAGGGAACAAAGGAGGAACCCTACTGATTGAAAACTAGCAGAACAGTGAAACAACAGGACACAACTGATCGCTCATGCATGGCCGGGATTAGGATAAAAGTAGAAAGAGCGCGGAGAAGAAAGCACACAACAAAAGAAACAGGGGACTGACAAACTTTTTTCTTTTCCTTTTGTGGTGAAAAGGATGGAATGAAAGGTCTGGCCATATGAAAAGATAGAGAGAGAACGATTACCAAACAGGGGCGGTCCTTTTCAGCCTCTGTACGCCTCCACTCTCGTTCCTTTTAACCAGCTACATGAAAGATAAAGCTCGGGTCTCTGGTGGCCAATACGAGACAAAAATACCAGATAAAAATGAATTGTTTATCATGGTATTAGTATTAATTCATTCATTACTTGTTTAAAAAAGGCAGCGCCGCGTGCCGGGTATCTTTGGTGTGTGTTTCTGAGAGCACCAGGACGGAATATTGTGATTCTTATTGACCAACAGGCCCCTTAAAAGTTGTTCACTAACCACTAACTAACAAGACAGTACTCTTTTCAGTCCCTGCCTGCCCTAAGTGCCTCCCCTGCCTTTGGCCTCAGTTCAAATTCTATTCTATTCTATTCTATTCTAAATAAGGAGGGAAAGGCAAGTGATTAGAATTTCTGTCTTTGACTTCTCCCCGTTTAAGGGGGTATTTGTGAATGTGGGGAGGGGATGGCTACGCCTCTGTTTCGGCTCGTTTTGAGTGGTGCGCCA